ACAAGATAGTCCTATGAGGAAACTGAGGCAGAGACAGGATGTTACCACACAGATCACTCAGGCATTTGATGGTGGGTATTCCAATAAATATTTGTTAAGAGTAAAAATCAGAGCCTAGTCCCAATCAATGTCCCCTGAATTTCTAAGGGAGGACCACAGCACAAGGAGGGAACTTGAACCAGGAAACAAGGGGCACTGAGGGGACAGGGATCACTCAGCGGTTTGTCCCCAGGAAGGTGGGTGGACACTGTTGCTAAGAAAAATGACAATTCAGTGAGGGTGGCAGGGATGAGAAAAAACCACACTCTGGGGCTAGAAGAAAGGATGTGTTTCCTTTCCTTATTTCTCTGTGTCTGTCCTTTGTGCTCATTGTCACAGTGACACTCGCCTGAACTGCACAGTGAGGAAGAGACCGTGTCTCTGCTGAGCTGAGCTCTGTAGCATCTTCCTGAAGCATCTTCATGGTCTGGATGACCACTGTCCATCGGGTGGGGAACACATGGAAGGGCTGATGACTGGGCAGAGGGTGAGGGGAAACCCTTGGGGGAGGCCCTGACCTGGAAGAACTTGCCCTGGCCCACCACACCTGTAAGGGGCATCTTAGGAGTTTCAGGGTTTATAACTTCCCTTGTCATGAAAATGAAAGCCAGACACGTGGGAAGTTACTGTTCCTCTTCCTGAGGGGCTGCTGACATGACAACCCTGAGATAGGAATGGCCAGCCTCCCAGTGACCACACCCTGTGAGTCTGTCTACCCTGAGGACTCCTTGGTCTCTTCCTTCTACACAGTCAGGTTCAGAGGAGGCACCATGCCCCCCAGCCTCATGGCTCTGCTTTGCCTTGGTGAGATGTGAGGGGGGAGGGGAAGCCCTGCTCTGTCAGGACCCCAGGACTCAGGAGGCTCCTGGGAAGGAAGGTTCTGCTCAGGATTCAGGGCAAATCTCTCACAGGGACTCTTGCAGGGCTGAATGTGGGCCTCAGGACCCCAGTGCAGGCAGGTGAGTCTGTCCCCAGGGGTCCCAGGACTGTCTCCACATAAAGGACTAGGGGCTTGCACATGAGGCAGCAGGGGATGGAGATCAGAAGTTCTGTGTTAATGGCTGGGGGACATCAGGATGGATGCTGGGGCTGAGAGCTGGGGAATGGAAATGCAGAATATTTGGTGACCCAGACTCTGTTTCCTTCCAGGGACCCTCCCCACACCCAATTTTTGGGCTGAGCCAGGTCCTGTGATCCCCTAGGAGAGCAATGTGACCCTCTAGTGTCAAGTGACCCTGCAGGCCCAGGAGTTCCATTTGTATAAAGAGGGAAACCCAGCACCCTGGGACACACAGAAGATACTGGATCCTGGGAACAAGGCCAAGTTCTCCATCACACACATGACAGAGCACACTGCATGGAGACATTACTGTTTTTATCTCAGCCAAAGTGTCTGGTCAGAGCACAGTGACCCCCTGGAGCTGGTGGTGGCAGGTGAGAAGACACTGAGGGGCTTCAGACTCAAGCTCTGCCCTCAGAAAGGGGAATGCTCTCGCAAAATTTGAGGTTCTCCCTTTCAAAGCCCAGCCCTGGGTGTCATGAGGGAGGTGTGACCCCATTTAACATGCTGTCCGCTCCTCTCCTAAAAGTCTACATCAAACCCAGGCTCTCAGCCCTGCCCAGCCCTGTGGTGACCTCAGGAGGGAACGTGACCCTCCAGTGTGGCTCATGGCAGGGATTTGACAGGTTTATTCTGACTAAGGAAGAAGAAGACAGGCTCTCCTGGGCCCTGAACTCACAGTGACAACCCAGTGGGCAGGTCCAGGCCCTGTTCCTTGTGGGTCCAGTGACCCCCAGTGAAAGTTGGACATTCAGATGCTATGGATATAACAGGAAGAATCTTCAGGTGTGGTCTCACCCCAGTGATGCTCTGGAGCTTCTTGTCTCAGGTATGTCTCATTATTGTCCCATCCATGGATAGAGGTACCAGACAGGTGACTGGGGTCTTTGCAGGAATGGGATCCCCATGTTGGAGGTACTATGAGGGGTGCACAGAGGCTTCTGGGCCAGAGACACAGAGGGAGAGACAGTGGGACCTGGGCACCAGGCCAGGAGGAGGGTTCATGGGAGAAGCAGCCCTGTCACTCCTGTCTGGTCCCTACATGTGGCTCAGGGAAGCCCTCCCTCCTGACCCAGCAGGGCTCCATAGTGGCCTCTGGACAGAGCCTGACCCTCCAGTGTTGCTCTGACATCAGCTATGACAGATTCGCTCTGTCCAAGGAGCAGGGACAGGACCTCCCCCAGAGCTCTATCTTGCAGCCCCAGGCTGGGCTCTCTCAGGCCGACTTCCCCAATTGGTACTGTGAGCAGCTCCCATGGGGGCCAATATAGGTGCTGTGGTAGACAAAACCTGTCAGTCTCCAGTGACCCCTGGACTTCCTGGTGGCAAGTGAGGAGCCAGCAGGCTCAGTCAGGGACCCAGAGTCTGCTCAGGCTCTGCTGGGGATCTCAGGTGGTGATGGACAGAACAAGGGGTGTGGGATCTGCAGGGAGGAGGAAGGAGAAACTTAGAGAAAACAGAGACAGACAGAGAGGAGGGTCCTCCAAAAGGGGCATGGTGACTCTTAGGACAGAACTAGGTAGCCACCAGCCCCCTACCCATTTGCCTCTCTCCAGGATGGCTCCCTGACAGACCCTCCCTCTCAGTGCAGCTAAGTCCCATGGTGGCCTCAGGAGAGAAGGTGACCCTGCTGTGTCAGTCGGACCTGGAGGGACACTTTCCTCCTGTCCAAGAAGGGGGCAACTGATCTCCCTGGGCATCTCAGATCACAGTCCAGAGCTCAGCAGCACCAGGCAGAGTTTTCCATGGGTCCTGTGACCTCAGCCCATGGGGGGACCTACAGGTGCTACAGCACAAACCACAGCACCTCCTCCTACCTGGTGTCAGAGCCCAGTGACCCCTGGAGCTCCTGGTCTCAGGTGAGAAGCCTCTGACCCTGTCTTCTCTGTGCTCACTCAGCTCAGAGCCTTGTCCCTAGGAGATTTGGAGACAGAAATAAATGAGGAGTGCAGGAGGTTCCACAGAGTGGGGTCCAGCCGCTGAGAGGTGGAAACAGACAGGGCCTCCCACCCCAGCCCCTGTTCTGCATCTCAGCAGAGAGAAAAAGCAGGAGGGTGGATTGGGATGTGTGAGAAGTGAGGAGAAAGGTGATTAGACTGAGCAGAGAGGACAGATCCCCTCCCCCATTCACCTCCTGCATCTTCATCTCAGAGTCTGAGCTCCTGGGGGTCCAGGCCTCACTGGACCCTCTTCCATAGAGAACAGCTTCTCCACAGTCCTGGGACCCAGCTCTGCAGGCCCCTGGGCTGCCCTCGACGTTCCAGCACTCAGGGCTCACCTGAGAGTAAGGAGGGGCTGTGCCAGGCTCAAGAGGAGCTGGGGGCTCCCACCTACACTGAGGGCTCCCCTGTTTGCTCTGTGGTTCTGGGGGCCCTTGTCCGTTCCTGCTCTTTTCTGAGGACTTCTGGGCTGTGTGTCAGTATACAGAGGAACAGTTTAATTTACATTGTATGCAGTCAACCTTCAAATGTCTATAATGCTATTTCTATTTTCATAGGGAAGACTAAATTCAGACATTTGTTGCAGAATTACTTCTTGGTACTATTAAATCTTTGTATTACATCATTTCAAATGAGGTTTTAATGAACTTAAGAAGCACTTTGATAGATATTTGCAAATATCTATCAAAGTAAACTTATAGATGACTTTCAGAACTGCACATCTAATGTAATTTGTGAGTAAGCTGTTTGATTCCTTTATACAGTCTAAATAGTAGTAAGTACATGTAGGAAAGCTATTGGTTTGGGCATGTTTATTTCATAACCAGTATAGTTTCCTAAAATCCCCTCCCTTTGTATTGTTTTTCAATTGATCTCACTGATACACTGAGAAAATTATAATAATGATGAATAAAAGGTAAATCAACTTTTTTCAGACTGCACACCTGTTTTTCTCACTCCAGACCCCACATGATAAAAAGACCAAGTAAAATATTCCACAGCTTTTCCTCTGAAAAACAGTTTTCTTCATAGCCCAAATTATTTCAAGTCAAACTGATTAAGATGTTTGCATTTTATACTGAATGCACTATCGACCTTAATATTCCAATATGTTTTTTTATTTCATTAGGAATGTTTTGTTTTGTTTTTACGGACAGATACACATCTCCTAAAAATTATCTTGCTTTCTGATTTATAACTACATGGGACACATTGCAAAGGCCTCCTGCTTTTAACCATTGGATAATAATGCAAATGAATAACACTTATTGTCTGTGTTCATTTTCCATATTGTATGAGCCGATATTTAGAATTTTGTCATGGATCTTTGAGGTTAGAATATAAGTGAGTCATTTGTTAGTATCTTGTTTTCTGTATCAAAATGGGGAAGGAGATTTCCATAATGTCCTAGTTTTGATGCTTGCAAAGTATGACAACTTGGTACAATTTCTCTGTTCCTAAAGTTTGGAACGTCCACTGGGGACTCCCTGGTTAGGAACTTTGATAAGCAGTGCGTGGAGGTTATGTTTTGGAGTAGAATTCACATGATTATCTGTCCATCCATGAAATGTTGCCACACTTCCTAGAGTTCGTCCAAAGGGAGGAGAGATGGTGCTTGCCCCTTCTGGGCCCCTGACCTGACCTCTGACCCCATGTTCCAAGGCCTTGAGTCCCAGTCCCCCGTCTCCTATGGCCCCTCCCTACATCCCACACAGGAGTTGTTATTCCGTGTTGAAGGCCAGACTAGACCCTTCTGGGGATCTGCCTCCTTATCAACCGTTCATTTCAAGTCTCTCTCTCTGTCCCCACACACAGCAATATTTATCGGTACCACACAAATATATGTAGATAAAGATGATGATATATAATTTAGTATTCATGTAAAAGTGGATATATGTGTAACTATATATACACATGCATTTTATAAAGTATTTTATAATATTATCTATAAAATTTACATATACAAGGTATGGGCCAAAGTAGGATTAAAGTTGCACAAAAAATAATGCAAGAATTAATACATATAACACAGTAAATAATTCTGTGTTTCATGAATTCACAACTGTAAGCCTACTTTTGCCCTACTCTGCATTTACTTGTATATTGATATTAAATGTATATATCTACAAATATTCATCCACATGCACATATATCTAATCTAGTAATTATATCTCCCATGGTAGTTTTGTCATCATATAAAATGAATTAATAAAACAATGAACAGATGAAAATTTCCAGGTGACGATTAAACAGCAGACCCCAGAGAGTGGGGTGAAGGAGACCTGCCCCAGACTTTCACCCCTTTGTGCACCTGCCACTCAGGAGCCCTCGACACCACCCCTCCTCCATGGACCTGGGCCCCCACAGGTGGAAAACATGGGATCTCTCAGCTACACAACACTAAGCTTCTGGGTCTTTAGTCTCACACTCAACACAGAACGCACAGCTCTAAATTGTTCCTGAACTGAGACCATTTTTTCACTGATCCTGAGCTCTTGGGCACAGGTCACTCTCGTCATGGCAGCTGGGAGCCAGAGCTGGATTCAGACATCCCAGTGACACTGACATCAAGGGGAGGGGAGAGCCTGGGGGGACACCAGAGTCCAGGAGTTTGCTGCCTGACCATGCTGACCTCTGTCTCCACATTTTGCAACCTCCCAAACCCAAAACTACACAGTGGAGACCTGGTCCACATGTTCATGGCTGGATTGGTCCTGGTGGTCCTCGGGGTGCTGCTGTTTCAGGCTTGGGACAGCGAGAGAATGGCTCAGGCTGCAGCCAGGACATGAACACAGAGGGGACAGGGCACCGTTCAGAGTGGGGGGAGCCATGGAGCCCATCTGATGACCCAGGAGGTGATGAGGGACAGCTGGACCACAGGTAGAAAAACTTTCTGCTGATGTGTCCAGGGAAGCAGAGGTGGCACATGAGGTTTGGGGACAGAAAATGTGAGCTGTGTTGCTGTGGAGACGCCTCCTCCCTCCCACTGTGGGGCTGTCCCTCCTCATCCTCACTGACTCCCCTTAACTGTCCTTCTGTTCTCACCACTATTACATGAGGCTGGTTTGGGTTCACATCTACACACCACTTCATGCTGGATCCCACTCATATAAACAAATCTAGTGTCTTCATAACCCAAGAGGGTTTTTTAAGCCATAAAAACAAAGTCCTGACACCAGCAACAGAGTGAATGAACATCAACATTCTGCAGCTAAGTGACAGAAGCCAGAGAGAAAAGATCACGTTTTCTGTGACTGCGTTCGTATGAAGCATCCAGGGGGAGGAAACTCACAGAGACAGAAGTCAGGTGGGCTTGTCGGGCTGACAAGGAAAGAAAGAGGAGAGATAAATCACTTTGTGAGTATTTGGGGGTTGGATTATACAATATTGTTATTAAAACCAGATAAAATTGTGGTTTAGACATTGTGTATTGACTACATTCCAGTGAATTCTATATTTTAAAATGCTAACTTCTATGTTACAGGAACTCTTGTCATTAAAAACAAATGTAACTAAATTACCAGGGTTCCTGTGGTTCATTTTTACCTTAGAAGTGGCCCCATGTCTCCAGGCAGTCTCATGGGAGGCAGGACTCACACCGGGCCCCAGATGTCCTCAGTGCCCAGTGCTCAGGCTCAGCCTCTAGTGGGATTACCACCCTCACTCCTGAGTGTGGTGAGTCCAGGATCCAGGACAAGCAGCGCTCTTCCTGTCTCCTCTCAGTCTGGGCTCATGTACCGTCAACCAAGGATGCCCTGTAGCTTCTGATGCCTGCTGAGGGCTTAAGGGATTCCTTTTCGGCTTCTGAGTAGCCCTTCCTTCCACAAGTCTCTCAAGCCCATCTCTTAATCAGGCCCAGAAATGACACAGATGGAGCCTCTTCATGTCTCAGGCTCTGCTGATCCTCACAACACTCGTGAGAGCTGAGCTGCCACCCTTGTCTGCAGTGAGGAAAAAGGGAGAGGGGAAGGGACTGGCTCAGAATAGATTGTCAATAATGTTTTCCCTTGTCTTAGATTAAAACCTGTGAATTGTCTGTCACTGGTGTTTTTGCCCAGCACATAAAGACAGAGTGACAAGTGTCAGAAGCAGGGTTACCCCTCACAGAGAAGGGCAGTGAGGAGGCAGACATGCTCAGCGGCCTGGATGGGAGGGATGGAAAGAAGTTCTCCTGCTCACAGAGATGAGGAAGTCAGAGAGAGGAAGTGAGAGGGAGAGACCAAACCACACACCCAGCCAGGAGAGTGGGTGGCTCTTGCAGTGGGTCAGGTGACCATGTTGTAATCCTATCCCCATCCCTGTGTCCCTCAGTGGATGGTCAGTCTGGAGACAACCCCATTGGCTCCCCAGGCCAGCCAGGCAGAGTACACACATGCCCTCAGCTCCCCCCTCCACACGATGAACACACCCAGCTCTGACTCTGCAACCTTCCTTCTGTCACCCAGTTCCCCTCCACAGTCACGTTCACATGAAGACCCAGGAAATCATGTGGATATGACCCCATCAGCCTCCTCTCTGGCCTCACTGTGGACCCTCACTCCCAGCTAAGGGGTTTCACTCCCATGCACATGAACTTACTTGTCATGGACCCTCCCTGTGCAGTCTTTCCACAGGTCTCCACCTCACTCCAGCACATCCAAGCAGCCCCATCTAATGCTCTATGTTGTTGGACATGAGGCTGAGCTAACCTCTCCATCCCAAGCAGAGACAACTGGTCCCTACAAAGCAGACCATTCCCAGCGCCCACCTCCCCTCCCCAGCCTCACACACCTAGGTCATGGCCACACTGGCCTTGTCATGGGCACTCCCTGAGCCCATTGAAACAGACCACACTCTCTGCACAACTCCTAGACTGAGAAAATGACATAGAAATGTTCCTGCTCTTCTCACTCAGCTTCAAACATACTTGTGCTATGGGATTTGCGTTGGGTTGCATGATTAATTGTCATAAACCACAGAGAGTACTGATGAGCTCGTTACCTTGGTGTTAGATTAGGGCTGGAGTTTTATCACAGTTCATCATCCATTCCTTACTCCTACAGCCAATTCCCACAGAATGTCATCTTCTCAAAGTAGCAACTACTCATACATTCCTTTACTGAAAAGTGTTCCATTACCTCAAAGATCAAACCCAGGAGTCCTTGCAGGGAGCAGAAGCCCTGTGTGACCAGGGCCCAGCACAGCCTGGTGACTCACAGCTCCTAGAATAATCACCCTCTTCCTGGTTGAGGGTCCTCTCAACCCCCTGTGCTGACCCCTAGTGTGTCCTGGTCCCTTCCTCATCTGCAGGTCCCCACACTCTGTGATGCCCATCCGTATGAAGTCTCTGTGCTCCATTTTTTCCTTCTCTGAAACTTACCAAAACAACACCCACATCATCCATTTCCTACATATTTGTACTGTCTGATGTCACTAACCAGCACTGCATGTGTCAAGGGGAGGGATCGGTCACCTTCCCCAAGGAACTTTGTGGCTGTACTGGGCACCTGCTCAGGAAACATCAGTTGGATGCAGGGATGGAGAATGGACAAAGAAACTTTCCATTTACCTTCTCAGAAAAAGGAAGTGAATTGCCCAAGCTTAGGGGGGTTCCAAAAAAGGCAGAGTCACAACTAAAACAGGAACTGGGCACTTCCTGAGTCCTGCCCAGCATCCTCTGCTCTCATTTTGGGACAGGTGTCACCTTCTGGACTTGGGCATCGCATCAGGAGGAGGCAGTATGTGTGGGGTGTGCTGAGACTTGGGTCTGGTCTGAAAGGTCCCAGAACCTGCTATCTCCTTGACCACCCTTCAGGGAGGGTGGTTTGGCTCAGGAGAAAACTGTGACTGTTCATACAGAACCCTGACCTTGTCAACCTCGTGTGTCCATTTGTCCTGCTGGACCCTGTGGACATTGTCAATCCCCTGCACCACTGTAGACCCTGGAAGACACGTCATGACACTGGCCTTCATTGCTATTCTCTGTCTCAGTGAGTTTGGGGAAAAAAGACCCTCCAAGGGATGGGTCTCCTTGTCTCCCAAGTACAGGACCCAGGAGGCTCCATGGAAGCAGAAATTTTAGGCAAGAGATATTGGCTCAGCCCCAACTCTGACCCCAGCGCTCAGGGCTCCAGACCAAGCCTAGAGATTCCATGTGTGGGTCTCACAGGGACTCTCTTCCAGGGCTGTGTTGGAGCCCATGGGACCAGGTCCAGGCAGGTGAGTCCTCCCCCAGACATCTTGCTTTAGTACAAAGATGCCTCTGGGCAGCAGGGGGACACACAGTGGGTCTGGGCTGATGGTGACCAGTGTGGGAGGAGCCTTGGAGTGACAGATGGGGAAACTGAGGGGACAAGGACACCCCTGACCCTGCAGGTCTGATTGTTTTCCAGCAGTTCTCCCCAAACCCTCCATTTGGGCTGACCCAGGTCCCAGGGTCAGAGAGGGGAGCCCTGTGACCATCTGGTGTCAGGGGTCTCTGAAGGCAAATGCCTATATTCTGTATAGAGAGAGAGCTCTCAGCCCTTGGAATGGAGCATCCCACAGGCTTTCAGCAACAAGACTGGCTTCCTCATTCATTCCATGAGCTCACAGCACACAGGTCTGTACCAGGTTGTATACAGCACTGGGAGCATGCTGTCTGAGAGGAGTGAGCCCCTGCTCCTGGTGGTGACAGGTAAGGGGGGAATCCAGGTCTCCTCCCAACTGCAGGCTCCTCCTCAGAGGATGAAGGGAACAGAGTGAGACTTTAGAGGGGCCACACCCCTTGCAGCCCACACCTGGGGAAGGTGGGGGTGATGATCCCCTTTAACTCATCCTCCTTCTCTCTCAGGAGTGTACAGTGCACCCTCCCTCTCAGCCCAGCAAGGTCCTGTGATGAACTCCGGAGGGAACTTGTCCCTCTTGTACAGCTCACAGCTCACATGGGACACTTTCCACCTGCTGAAGGAGGGAGGAGCTGAGCTGCCCCAACACAGGAAATCAGAATTGAAGTACTATGCTGGGAGGTGGTGGTGGGTGGCCATCTTCTCTGTGAGCCCTGTGAGTTCCTCCCATGGGGGGGCCTACAGATGCTATGGTTCCTCCAGCTTCTACCCCAATGTGTGGTCACAGCCCAGTGACCCTCTGCACCTCGAGGTCACAGGTGAGGTGACCCACACTTGCTTCAGTTCTTTCCTGTGTCCCAAATATCTTATCTAACCCAATGTGTGGTAAAGTCCTGGGGGGTGCGAGGCTCAGTGACAGGGGTTTTTTGGGGACAGAACCACAGAAAGCAGACTTAGGGAGGGACAAATAAGAGCTCTCCCTGCAGCCCCAGTGGGCAGTGTGTGTGTGTGTCCCTGGGTGACAATGACCTTCTCCCCAGGTGTGTACAGGGAACCCTCCCTCTCAGCCCAGCTAGGCCCCCTGCTGCTGCCTGGAGACAACCTGACTCTCCAGTGTCACTCAGAGCCTGGCTTTGACAGATTCACTCTGACCAAGGAAAGGGGCCAACAGCCCTCCAGATTCTCCATGGGCAGCACAACCCCAACTTTCCCCTGGGCCCTGTGAACCTCACCCATGGGGGCTGCTACAGGTGCTACAGTGGACACAACCTCTCTTATGTGTGGTCAACCTCCAGTACCCCCCTGGAAATCCTGATTGCAGGTGAGGAACCCTGCCCCTCCCCGCGTCCTGACTGTCTGCTGAGGGCTCAGGCCCAGCATCACCTTAGCGGTGATGGGGTCCTGGTTCAGGTCCTGGAGCAGAGGCAGAGAGGACTGAGTTTTCAGGGAGGAGGGAGAATGGCGATTGAAGGACATGGAGATAAAAGATGCCACTCAGAAGGACTGAGAGAAGCTGAGAGGGGTCACTTTCCTGGGGAGGGACATGGTCACTCAACTCAGTGCCAAGGGTATGGGAGAGGGGTGGCCCTACACATCACAGCCCTCCTCTCCCCAGGAATGTACAGGAAACCCTCACTCTCAGCCCAGCCAGGGCCCTCAGTGCCCTGGGGAGCAAATGTGACCCTGCAGTGTGGATCTGAGGTCAGGGCTGACACCTTCCACCTGCACAGGGAGGGGCCCCTGGATCCTCCTCAGCAGCTTCATCTGCATAACACAGCTGCCCCCTCTCAGGCCAACTTCACCATCAGCCCTGTGACCTCGGGCTACCATGGGAATTACAGGTGCTACAGCTCAAACAGCTCCCCCCCTTCCAGCTGTCACAGCCCAGTGACCCCCTGGAGCTCCTAGTCTCAGGTGAAGGACTCCCACCCCACCCCATTGAGGGAGCAGACTCTGTCCCAGGACAGCTCTGGGCTGGGATGGGAAGGAGGATGAAACAGTGAGGTCATCAATATGGCGAATCCCACCCCATAAAGAGATGGAGAAGATGGGGGATCCCCCACCCTCTCCATGCCTCACTCCACCTGAGGGTCCATCCAGTGCTGGTGTGTGCAGGGAGGAGACTGAAGTGTGTGAAAGGACAATATTTGGGGAACATCTATTGGACTATAGGAGGCATGAAGGCTCAGGCACACCCACAGCCTCCCCTGGTTCCTGTGTCATGCAGCAGCTGGGGTCTGCAGACCTGCCCCCACACGGACAAACTTTATGTTTGTTGGGTAGCAGAGTCCCCTTAGCCTAGAGGAGACACAGACTCCACCAGGCTTCTGCTATTTCTCACTTTATGCTTCAGCATATCAAATAGTTCCAGGAGGCCTTGTTTCCTAAAGTCCTGGAGAAAAAGGTGGAGATTACAAAGGGGCCTCATGTCTCAAGCAGCAGGAAGGTCACTGGGTCCCATGTGATCAGCAGGGAGGAAATGATGAAGGGGAAGATGCCCAGCTCAGGAGGGAAGAATAGAGCAGGAACCACTCCTGCCTTTGTCCCTGGTACTGATTCTAGGCCCCTGAGTAGTTCTGACACCTGTGGAATCAGGCCTACATGGGAGACAGAGTCAAGGGGTCTCTCATTTATATGGGTCAGGAGGAGTGTGGGTACACTTGGAGTCTAAACTGAAGTGGAGTGGGCTCAATCCCCTTCAAGTGAATCCCAGTGACAAAATCTCACCTGTATCTGGGACTTGCTTCTCCCATGTATCAGAGCAGAATCCAATCCAGGATTTGAAAAAGATCAATCAGTTTACAACCTAGGTACCAGTGAATCCCTGTAAGAGAAAGAACATGAATCCACTCTGAGCTTCTCCTGTCTCCATGGGGGACTACTGTCATTACATGGGTGTGGGAGGACGGCAGTGTTTCTGCTCCTTTTCCATGAACATCAGGTGGTCAACTGGGTCAGGTCATCCTCCAAAACACGTCCCATCAGAACTCCTGTCTGTGCCCCCTTACCCCTCCCAGAGTTTCCAGGGATTTTCCTGATTTCATTTGTCAACGTAGCAGAGCCTGTTTTACATCACTACATAGCTGTATTTTCATCCAAGTGTTTATCTAAATATTTTATTCTGTCATGTGTCTTTTCTGCTTGTTTCTTATCAGTCTCACTATCCAGGATACAAATCAATAAATGCTTAGGTCTGGTAAGTGTGGTATCCTTAATCACAGAAAGGTTGCACAGTGTATTGTATATATTCCATCATTTATTTTCTAAAGAAGTGATTGATAGAGAAACAAAAGTGATGTGAAAATATATAATCCTAAGTTGGAGACACAAAGCAGGAGCTGAGGTGGAGGAATGAAAATGTAGAACCAACCCTTTACTCCCCCTTGTTCCTGACATGAAGAAAAAACTAAGGCTCCAGATGTCACCTTGGCATGTTAATTACATGCAGACAAGAGGCCAAAGATGCTCATCTCAAGGGAGGCCATGGGCATGGCTATTGACAGGGACTCACTGGAGATGAGAGAAGAGAGGACTGAGGTATTCCCACATCTCCTCTCCCATGTCCTATGTGTCATTGATTTACAGAAGCAGCTAACACCCTGGGACCATCACACAGTGAGCCAGACTCCCAGAGTGGTAAGTAAGGCCTAAGTCCCAGTTATAGGGCTCAGGGCAGAGGGTTAATCCATTCAATGCAACTGAGGTGCATTGGACAGACATCCATTGATCCTGGGGTGACTTATCATTACTGTGACCTCTGTGACCTCTTTGTCCTCTATGTCTAGGCTCAAACACCCAAGACTACACAGTGGGGAACCTCATCAGATTGGGTGTGTCTGGCTTAATCCTCGTGGTCCTTGGGGTGCTGCTATGTGAAGCTTGGCACAGTCAAAGAAGACCCCACAATGCAGCCAGCAGCTGAACACAGGGGACAGCAAACCCTCAAGTCAGTGAGGCAGAGCCTGGAGAAGAGTCTGGTGAGCCCAAGAAGCTCTGGAGGGAACTGTGGGCACCCTTGGGAAAGAGTCTGCTGAGAATGTGGAGGGTGTGGGCGTGGTTCCCATGCAGGGAGAGTTGGGGCTGCTGCTGCAGAAGCTTCTCCACAGTTAGACTGTGGGCGTCTCACCTCACTGCACTGCTGACCTTCCCTGACTGGCTCCTGTGTTCTCCAACCCCATGACCTGGGACTCAGCCCACATCACAGGTTCAGATTCACCCCTGGGCTTACCCTCCATCTCTGGTCCACTTTCATGTAGGGCATTTTTCCTGTTTGTATTGTCCACATCCACTCATTTTTCGTCTTGTTTGGTCAGATTGGTCACATGCAAAATCATTTTCAAACACCTGAACAAATGGATAATCATCAAAAATAGTTTGGGCAGGGCATTGGCATGGTTCAGTGGGTTTGTGGCATTTGCCTAATTCCTGGGTGTAAATGCTCCTTGAGGGCGGGGAGAGCCACCACCACCCTCTCCCCAGTGCCTGAGTCTTTCTCCTCCTCCAGAAACCTCACTGAGTCCCAGCTGTGCACCCTTCATGGCCAGTGGGTTCCCGTGACCTGCAGGGATTACTTCGCCTGGACCTGCTCAGGGCAGTCTCTGGGGGCTCAAGGAGCCCTGGGGGAAGGCCTGCCCAGAGGGGCCCCAACCCACCCACAAGCCTGGGTGGGCTCGGGATGTCTCTCACCCGAACTCGTAGCCAGTGCATCGACACCCCTGCTGGCCACCAGGATCCGGGCGGAACTTCGAGGTGAACAACGGGATCCGAGGCAGATGCTGCGCTATCCTCCCCTCCCGCCCTCTGGCCCCAGTGCTCCAGTGCTCCTGCACCAGGTCTGGGTCCTAGGCCCGCGCCACTGCCGCCAAGAGCCACCGGGCTTCTTTTCTAGGCTGCCCCAAAGCTCCTTCTAGTCCTCATCCCTCACACTGTACTGCGAACGCACACTGCTGAGTGCCCTGTGCAGGCGACATGCCTGGCTGCGAGTACAAGTTCGCGGGCTGCGACAGGTGCCCGCCACCACCGGATGCGCAGGGGCCAGAAGTGTTTCCCCTTTCCTCCCTGCTGCAAGTGCTTCACCTGCAGCGATTCAGTGTCCAAACTAGCGCGCCACCACTCAGCTTCCCCTGTAACTCCTGCTGCCCGGAGCCCACCCAGCGCCTGGCCCAGCAGCCTGGAGGGAGTCCCAGGAACAGCCCAACTCTCAACTTGAACCCTGGCTGCTCCCAGCGCCCCATGCAGCTCCCCGGAGCTCGCCTGGCCCAGAGCACCAGCAACATGCCTGTTGTCCCGGCCGCCTTCCAGCGATCCCCTGAGGACCCTGAGATGCCTCTGCCCTCTCAAGAGTGCAAGGAAGAGGTCTGAGACTGGACTGTGGTCAGCTGGACCTTGGCAATGGCCGTCAGGCATGGGACCTGGGGGCCATGTCTGTAAAACCATGAGCCATTAATTTAAAGAAAAACAAACATGAAAGAGGAGGGAGAGGGGAGAGGGGAGGGGAAGAGGAGGGGGAGGGGAGAGGGAGGGAGGTTACCAATAACTGCCCAGATACACTGAAAGATGAGGACCAGACCTACAACCTGAGATCCTGCCACAAGAGGAGGCCAGAAGCACGAAGCCAGTCCATCCACACAAGGTCCCAGAAGCCCCAGAACACAGGCAGGACCAACAGAAACCATCTCTCCCCTGAGGGCAGCTGGTCAAGCTTGCAGGAGGTGACTACAATGTCAGATGCAAAAAGAGAACACAGCACTCCAAAGTACGCAAAGAATCACAATGTCTGCCATCACCAACAATCATAATAACATCCCAATAACTGAACTCAAAGGCATGGAGAACAGCAGTGTACTCAATAGATAATACAAAAGAAGCTCAATGAAGTATAAGACAAAAATAGAAATGCAATTTAATAAAGTCAGGAAAACCTTACATGGACCAAATAGCAAATTCAACAAGGAGGAAGAAATCCTAAAATAAATCCCATAACTTCTGGGGCTAAAAAATTAAGTGAATGACATGAACAATGGCACAGAGGGCATCAACCAAAGGGAAGCAAAACAAGAGGCCAATATTCTGGTGGAATATAGATGTAGAATGTCTCAACGAATGCTAGCATGACAAATTCAAGAGCACATGAAAAGTTATATACATCATGATCAAATGGGATTTAACACAGGGCCCTGAATATTGGCAAAAAACATTTCAACATGTGCAAATTAATCCATGTTTTCAGCACAATAATAAATAAATGACATGAAACATATTCTTTGAACAGGTGCAGAGGAGGTGTTGGAGAAAATACACCATTCTTTCATAATAGAATTTTCATAATAAACACTGTTGATGAATTGGGGATGGAATGAAAACAGCTCAGCAAAATAAAGGTCATGTGTGGCAGCCCACAGTTCACATCGGACTCAACACTGAAAAGCTAAGAGTTTCTCTTCTGAGATCAGTGACAGAACAAGGAAGCCCACTCTCCCCACTTCTGTGCAACTCACACTAACCATCCTAGGCAGAGCCGTCAGACCAGGAAAGAATGAAGGGGATCCGAATTGGAAAGAAATAAATAAAAATATCTGCAGGTGATACAATCTTATAAATAAAAAATACTAAAGCCTCCACGAAAAAAAAATGTGGTTAGAACTAATAAAAATAATTCAATAAAGTTGCAGCATACAAAATGACAATACAGGTATCAGTTGCATTTCTACACACAAATCATGAAAGTTAAGAAAAAGAAAGGAAGATAGTGATTGCATTTGCAATAGCATCAATAAGAATAGACTATGACCGAGGAGGTGAAAGATATGGACATTGAAAACTCTAAGACTTCGGTAAGATAAACTGAAGACACAAGTAAATGGAAATATACCCATATTCACAGCTGGGAACCATTCATTAAAATATCTATACTGCCCAGTCTCCAAACTGAATGCAATCCCTACCAAAATGTCACATACTCTTTTCATAAAAATAGAGAAGGAAATGATAAAATGCATACAAAACCACAAAAACTCACAGTAGCTAAGTCAATCTAAAAAAGAAATAAGAAAAAAGCTGAAAGCTTCACACTGTCTGTTATCAAATTATACTACAGAGCTATAGTAATTAAAGGAGCATAGTAATTGCAAAAAAAAAAATACATGCAAACCAATGGAACAGAATTAAAACTCCGGAGATAAACCCATGCATTAATGAAAAATGCCAGAGTAAAATCATTTGGCAAAATCCAACAAAAGTCTGGGATCTTCAGAACTTTAAGGGGACTTCCTCCATCTGATAAAGGGGCAGGTACAAAGCCTACACTGAACATCACAGCTAAGGGGGGACTGAATGCAGGTGGAAAACAGAGGAGGTGGCTGGAGACAAGGACCTGAAGCTCAAGAATGGAGCCTTGTGTGTGGAGGGTCCTAGGTCTTGAGAGGCACTTGTCTTCCTGCATGAAGCCTTCCCCTGTGGCCATCAGAGGGCACATGAGAGTCCCCACAGAGCCTGTCATTTTCACGATGAGACACATCGTAGAACCACCTGTGGAACAGGGGCAATAGTTCACCAAAATGGGGGTCTTTCCCTCTGGAAAAACCAGGTGAGTCCAGGAGAGATTGTGTACCCAATGGCCCAGCAGGAGGTCTTCAAGGCCCTTCAGTTGAGAGTCCTCACACCTGCCTTCCCTGGGGCTCCTTACTGGAGAGACTGCTGTCTCTCAATATGCAAGACTCCAGGTGATAGACATGAGTGGGGACAGCAGGGAACTGGGAGTTTGGACCATCAGTTCCAGCTAAGAGGGTCACAGGTTGGCATGTGGAATGTGGACAAGTCACATTTCCTTTCTTAGGCAGAGTTTCTGCCTCTGTTTAACCAATGAGTTAAGTATTACTCCACGGAGTAGCTGTGAAGCTCATGTGAGACGATGCATGGGTTACAGAATACAGACATGATTACTTTGCAATTATTAACCATTTGCAACTTTTGGGACTGGACCCTCTCAAGACCACTGAGAGCAAGGAGAATTTTCCCCGTTATTGTGGGTCCTTAAAAGGCTAAACTTCCCTGGAACTATACAAAACATAAATGTTTTATGACTCAAGGTCAAGGGGGGACCCTGATAGCACCCATGTCTCAGAGGCAGTGATATCTGCTTGTTGGGGTGGGGAGACTTGGAGCCCTCGGTGAGTGAGACCCGGTCTCCCTCATCTCTAAAATGTTTGATTACTGTTCTCTGGAGCTGGTACTAAATGTCATGCTCACTTATTTCCTTCTGACACCATAGATATGACATTGACCCTCCTCATTCTAGTCCCTAGTAATGTACATCCCTACTTCTGGCCTCACCATCCTGCATTTTGGAAATTTTCTCAATATTGTACTCCACTGTAATAATTGGAACTTCAGCTGGGTTTCATTCTTCATGGGAAAAATGGTTTTTTTAAAGACATATATTTTATATATTTATTTTTAGAGAGGGAGAAGGAAGTGAGAGAGAGGGTGAGAAACATCAGTGTGTTTTTGCTTCTCTTGTGCCCCCTACTGGACCAAAAACCAGGCATGTGTCCTGACTGGAAATCAAACTAGTGACCCTTTGGTTCACAGACCAGCACTCAATCCACTGAACAACAGCAGTCAGGGAGGAAGAATTGTTTTAATGTGTCCATTCAATTGGGTATTTCCTCTCTTAGATTTCTAACTCATATTCTTCTATAAGAGAATTTTTTGATCAATATTTGAATCCTCCTTTTCCTTTTCAGATATTTACACATGATCATCTTAAATTGCTGTCATATTTCCCACTGACTCTCTTTCATTGTGTGAGACAGTCCCCAGTATCAGTAGACAGTGTCCATAGCACTATCTGTCATCATTAGGATTTCTCCACTGTCCACTCTTGTAGGAGTCTCTCCCCTCACACACCTGGTCTCCCACAGATTCTTCAGGGCTGTCCTTGATTCAGGGTGACCAGAGGCTGTGGCCCCTGCCCCATGCAACTCACTCCCTGAGTCTCAGAACCTGCTCAGCATTCTGCCCACTAGGGCTAGTCCAATGGGAGCCTCACATGCACACATGGGACAGACACCCACAGCTGACATACTGGACTCAGTCTGTTTCAGGACACACAGGAGAAACAGCTCACTGCTGACCATGAACTTGGGTGAGTGGGCCAAGACATCCCAGAGTCCACACAAAAACACGGGGCAAGGACCACACTTCCAGCCTTCACCTTCATCCTTATCCCCTTCCTTTGAGGTCCTGGAGTCCCTTTCCTTTTTCTCAGGGGGAGGGAATCATGTCCCTATGACCTGTGGACAGTCCGCAGCAGGACAGTCACTCAGTTTCAGTCTCTGTTCTCCACTGTGGTTCCCTCTCCATTTGGAGAACTTTCATTTCTCTTTCCCACATGTGTGTGTTCCTACATACTTTAGAGCTGTTGTGAGTAGCTGTGCTTGGTATTCAGAATAGAAAAAGTCTGAAGAGGATGAAACAATCCTGCCCTTGACCCTGGACACCTTGGTCCTCTCATGTTCCAGCCCACTCACATCTTCATCTGGTCTGGAAATGGAAGTTTCTCCCCCATGAACCAGCACCACGGACCCACAGCCCCACTGAGAACTGGGAATTGGGACAAGATGGTTCAGATGAGGAAACTGAGGCAAACACAGGATGTTACCACACAGATCACTCAGGCATTTGGTGATGGGTATTCCAATAAATATTTATTAAGAGTAAAAATCAGAGCCTAGTCCAAATTAATGTCCCCTGAAGCTTGAAGGGAGGACCACAGCATCAGGAGGAAGCTTGAACCAGGAAACAAGGGGCACTGGGGGGACAGGGATCATTCAGAGGCTTGTCCCCAGGAAGGTGGGTGGATGATGTTGCTAAGAAAACATGAGAAGTCAGTGAAGGTGGTTGGGATAGAAAGAAAACCACACTTTGGGCCAGGGAAAGGGGCATGTGTCCTTCCCTCAC